ATTTTATGCTGGGCTGTTTCTTTTGCTGATAACCATGCATTCTGTCTCCTTGCAATTGGGATTTAGTCCTTTCTTCTTTCTTTTCTTTACTACCTTCTGTAAGAGTTCTGTTTTCCTTCTGTTTCTGCTATTAACATTGTGTCATCTACATACCTTATGTCATTAAAACTGTGGCTGACAATGATGAATGCTGTTAAGACTTCTAATTCTCTCAAAATTGCCTCACTGTACAGGTTGAATAAGTCTGGGGAGAAGACACATCCTTGTCTTACAATTTGTCTATTTTTGTATATTTACTGAATTCATTTTCTATCCATATGCAGGAAGTTTGCTGCAATTACAGGTTCTAGATTATTGTAATATCCTTCCTAAATATGTCATAGTTAACTAGCAGTTCCAACAGCTCTTTGAGTGACTGAATTATGATGCAACAGGAAACTGTGGAGGGCCATGATCGCCTATGTTCTGAAGTGACATAGCACATAGAAGAAGATATTTCTTCAGGCAAGATTACATATTTGATTATAATTCTCTTCATTTCAGTTGATATTTGAATAAAAATATTCATATTAAATAACAAAATATTACATAACTATTTATTATTATTGGTTCTGCTCTTTTAAGGGCCATCTTTGGGATGACATTTGATAGTAATTGATTGTTCAGACATTTTCTATTATTATTCTATTATTATGTATTATTCATGATATAAACAAGCTTATATTACTTATTTAAATTTATAAGTAACTCACCACTTTATCTTTTATTAGTTACTATAATTGTTTTACATGAATTTTCCCACCAGTTTTCTCATGTGGAATAGCAGTTAATGCAATGGTTATCAACATGGAAAATGAAATCACTGAAGTGAGTTCAAATTTCTACTAATTTTCCATTTCCATGTTTTCCATTGGAATGAATAAGTCAGTAGCTTAACTAACAGGGCAGACTGTTTTTTTTTATTTTTTTATTCAGATGGCAGCCAGTCTGAAAGATGGAAACATCTGAATTGACACCTGAATGGGAATGTTTGGAGACTTTGTACACCATTTCTCAGTTATTAGTTCTTCCAAAATATGTGTCTGATTTGACACAAGATTTTACAACTGTAATCAGATCATCTGTGTGGTTAGTCTAGCGGCTCAGTTCTAACTGAACTGTTTGGCTATAACACACTGAAATCAATGGGAGAGTTCACTATATATTATGCAGCTGTTGTTAGGGATCAAGTGACACCTAATCTACTCTGTACTGTTGCCAGCTTTAAAAATGATGCTTTCTGAATTGTGTAAAATCTTCTGAGATCTATCTCTTATTATCCACTTGCTGTTCTTTCTCTCATGCTTATCGCTGTGGATAAAGTGGAAGCAAATGTCCTCACTCGTTCACAATTCTACTCAGCATTCATGCTGAGTTTCTAATGTTGACATCTGTGTGGTTTTAAGCCTATCATGGTTTCTCAAATTTTCCAGGTATTTTATAAGTTTTGGCAACTTGTTTCAAGTGTTCTGATATCTATAAATACTAGCATCACTTTTATAGTTAGATCATATTTTTTACTAAATGGAGTTTTAATTAAGTTTGAAATTAATTTATGAAAAGAAAACTGTATAGAAAGTGCACTGATTTCTGTGCCTTCCATGTTAAATTTTCAGCCAGGTTCATTTCACATTTCTTAACAAATCTATTATTATCAGTGTAGGATATTTAAAAACAATAGTGTTAAAAGCATAAAACATAGGAAAGCTGAATTAATTTTGCTGTGTTGATAAATCGGATGCCCATATTTTTTTCAAATTTAAAGTTTAGAATCTTGACATATTCAATGTTTCCTCTTGATATTTAAATATAACCAATATTTTTGTTTATATTTTCACACCCACCTTCTACATATATATAATCAAAAGAAAATAGTTAAATCCATTACTTCATGTTTTTGAAGATGTACAACACATACATCCATCCCAAACCATAACAATCTGATCACAATTTAAACAATATTCATTTAAAAAAAAATGTATTCTTGAATATTACACACTCACTTTTGTTTTATCAGACTTATGAATTATGGCACTTTGTATCCTCCACATGTTTTGATTGACCTTTCAACCAAATGATGAATATTCATGAATGTTCTCAAATTTAAAAGCCTTGAGAAACCAATGACACCTTTGCTCTTGTATATGGACACATTCAACAAAATAAATCCTTACATTTGCCTTGATAAAGTCCCTCAGAGGACAAAACATGTCAGCTAATATATATAATTCCATCTATAAAAAACATTTTAATCTGATGCAATCCTTTTGATGGGCAAAACATTACATTTCTTTGTTCATTTTGCCATTCAGTTGTACATACATGTCATAAATTCAAAATGGAGTTATTGTTGAGATCATGTTGGCATAAAGCATAAAACATAGGAAAATCTGAGATCATGTTGGCATAAAGCATAAAACATGGGAAAGCTGAATTAATTTTGCTGTGTTGATAAATCAGATGCCCATATATAATTCCATCAATAAAAACATTTTAATCTGATGCAAACCTTTTGATGGGTGAAGCATTACATTTTTTCTAGTTATATATATATGCCATGAATTCAAAATGAAGTTATTGATGAGTTATTTTTTATGTTTAATATATTATTATGTAAGACACACCTACATGCACACCTACATACGTTTCACTGATAATACCTTCTTCATATTTTGTCATGTACATTCTTTTGGATTTATGTGGCCAGTCATGAATGTCTTGATAAAGGGAGGGATGTACACCAAAATTGATGTGGATAGTTGATGTTTTTAAACTTGTCCTTCAATGACACAATTATACAGGTGTCCAATCAAGGTCCACAAGATGTGGAGAGCAGAGAGAGGAAAGTATTACCTGTGATCCTATCAGAGGAACTAACCATGCAAATATTACTGTATCTGCTCTGAGTATACAATTGGAATGATAAAGTGGGAATAGGTGGTTGATCTGTTCATTACACAAGCTGGGAACATTTTAGCTTATATAATGGTAATATTCTCTTCCTTCAGGCTCCCTACATTACTGTTACTTTGTTATTCTCTTCATTTATCAGCTTGCTTTCAAGATTTCAAATTTATATAATCAGTTTATAGATTGACCTTTGTCACACCACTGTACTGATATGGTTCTCAGCTCAACTATTGTTACACCATATGTTATTGCATTTTGTCACACTATCTTAACGTTATATTAGTAATGTTTGATAAGAATACAAGATTAAATCATTTATACATAAAATTATTGTGTATTCACTTCTGGACTCCATAAAATCAACATCAGCCATGAGGTTATGTGGTTTCTCAGAGACTAAAAATAAACATGCAATCTTTTCATGAAGATATGAGGGACTATTGTACCCTTTATATAACTTCCTGTCATTTAGTTGTCTTGTCTGTTCAGGAAATTTGACTTCCTGTTCATAATGGTGCAAACACTGACATCATTCAAAGCCTGATTCTGCACTTGGTGGATAGGAGTCATCTTCAGGGTCTACCCTCCTTTGATATTTTGATGTGGCACTGAATAGAAAGCTTATTTTGCTAACTCTTAATTAGAGTCATCACAGATTAACTCTTCTTAGATAACAGCTTCTGATTGATGTTATTTCTACTCCCTTTCTGATTCTAAGTGCTAGTGCCTTTTTTGTTACCAATTTTCTTGAAACTTAAATGATAACATGTTTTGTCTATGATATTTTCTGCAACCTTCTTTAGAATCTCCTTTTGTTGCCTCATGTCTCCTCTTGTTCTCTAAGGAAATTGTCCAAAATCCATTGTTGGAGAATTGATATTCATATCATTTTAGCATTTTTCTCTAACAAAATATTCCTGTTTTTTAACATGATCGTTAGCTTTTGAAAGGCATCTTTTGTCATTCTAATGTGCCTTCAGATTTCTGTGTCATATTTTTCTTAATCTATTTTAAAACATCCGAAATAGTTCTTTATTTTCTTCTGACATCATAACTTGCATATTGGGCCATTTCTCTGGCTCATGGCTTGATATTCTGTATGTTTTCTTACAATTTTTCTCACTTTTGTTTTGTCTAGGAGTTCCTGCAGTTTTCACCCTGTGTATATCATCTATACAATGTCATTTGCATATATTATGTTGTTAAAATAGTTCTCTTACAATCTTTCACAGTTCCTGTTCTACCATCCATTTGCATAAGCTTGTTAGGTTACTTGCCCCTCTTGTCTTCAGTATATCCTTTGAGAACCAAATTCTCTAAGCTGTCTTTCCTCATTACATGTCCCAGAATTTTCTAATCTCTCTCTTTTTGATTGTAAATGCTAATGCACATTTTGTTCTCAATTTTCTTAAAACTTTCATTGATGACATGTCATCATTGACAGGACATGTCATCAATGATGACATGTCCTGTCAATGATATTCTCTATCTATTTTGTAGAACCACATCTCTGTTGCCTCAAGTCTCTTGCTATCAATCAGTCAGTTAAGTATCATATATGATAATACTTTGGGTGATCATGTAACTTTCCATTCATGACTGATTAGGCAGAGATTTTTCTGTAGTAGGTTGCCATTTCATTCTGTGGTTGCCTGGTTGCCAAGCAAGGCCATAGGAACCAGTTTCTGGGATGAGAAGAGATGGATTCATTCTTTTCCAAAGGGTATTTCTATGTAAGGGAATGTAATGAACCCAACTGGAATTTGAACTCAGTTCTCTAGTTTCTTAGTTCCAAGCAATTATCCATTACATCAAATGGTACATCCACTGCTGAGAAGATGTATCTTTGTCAGATGCTTCATTCTATTTTTGTGTCTTTGTTCATTTCATTTTCTATCTGTATGCAGGCTGTTTTCTTCCCAGAAAAATGTTCCAGATTATTATAATATCTTTCGCAAATAAATCAAGTTTTCCCAGCAATTCATATAGATATTTGAGTTGTATTAAATACTTCCTTCCTCTTTCCTCATACTTCATTCAAAATGGTTTCAATGTCTTTTCTAAATTATCTCACAAGCTTAGGTATTTTTACTACTTGTGGTAAAAGTGTCACCTACCACTTGTGACTTGAATAGTATATAGGTATCATGAAGTAACTCTCTTTACCTACTGAAATACAATAAAGGACAGCATGGCAGATTGTGTCCTTTTTTTCTTTCCATGTTTCTTTTTCTTATTCTCTTTTTATTTTATTTTCTGTGACTTCTTTTTTCTTTCTTTTTTTTAATTTTCTTATTTTACATTTCTTCTTTTCACACTTCTTTTATTTCTTCTTTTTTCTGCATTTCTTTTTTTCTTCTGTTCCATCTTTTGCTCTGTTCTTTCTTTCTTTTTCTGTCTCTTCTTGCTTTCCATTTCTTCTTTTCTCTTTTCTTTCTTTTCTTCTTCTACTGCATGTTTCTTTTTACACTCTACTTCCTTTTTTTCCTAATATTTTTCTTTTTATTCATGTTTATTCTTTTATCTCTTTTTTTCAGTATACTTTTTTATTTTTTTTATTTTCACTTTTGTTTTTTCCATTATTTTCTTGTTTTCTTTTCATTCCTTTTCTTCTTTTCTTTTATTCCCTGATTTTTCTTTTATTTTTCACTCTTCCCTCATTTTTTTACTATTTTTCTTGTTCTTTCTTTTCACTTTTTCTTTTTTCCATATTTTTTAATTTTATTTTTAGTCCTTTTTCATTTTCTCATTAATTCTTCTTTTATTATTCTTTATTTTTCATTCTTTTTCCTTTTTTTATTTCCAATATATATTTCTTTGTTTTTTTTTCACTTTTTCTTTTTTCTTTTCATTCTTCTTTTTTCTTTTTTGCTTTCTTTCCTTTCATTCTTTATTTATACTTTTTCTTTTCTTTTTTCTCATCATTTTTCTCTTTTTTTCATCCTTTCTTTTCCTATTTTATATATTATTTTTCTTTTCTCTCCTCTTTTTCTTTCTTTTCAGCCTACTTTTTTCTTTGCTTCTTTTTTCCTTTGCTTCTTTTTTCCTTTGTTATTCATGTATTTTTTCTCTTTTCACTTTTTTGCTTTTTTCTTTTTTCCTTCATTATTTTTGCTTTATTTTCTTTCTTATCTCATCCTATTTTTCAGTTCATACTTCTTTTTTCTATCTTTATTTTTCTCTCTTTCTTATTTATTTATGGCTTTAAATTTGTTCTTCTATATTCCTTTCATATTTTTCATTTCTTTGTTCTTAGGTTTTAATATAAGTGCATTTGACATTCTTTCAGTATTGAAAGCTTCTTACACAGGGTCTACCCTTGACACCAGATCTCTCACTGCTGACCATTGTCATATCAGTAGTGAACTAAATTTGTGTAACAACAAAAATCAGGAAGGTTTATCATTCACAATGATTCTTCTCTTTCAGTGTACAATAGCATAATCTGATATAGCAAATTCCTCTGTGATTGCTGATGGGTAAAGCTTTGGAAAGCGACAGATGATTTCAGAAGAAGACTTGATCTTATTTTGATCCTTGTCAGACTTTTGTGATTTGATCTTTGACTTTTGGTACTGGGCATTGAGTACAGGTTCAATTGAATGTGTTCAACTAAAATCATATTGTAAAACTTGTATCAGATTTTGAGCTTAATGTTTCTGTTCCTTCTGGGAGTAAGAGCATTTATTCTCAGTTCTTATGGTACCCCCACCAAAACAAAAAAAAATTACTAAAGAAAAATATAAACAAGATCAAAGGCTTGAACCTTCTTGATGATGCTCAGGTTAAATTTCAAAATAAAAAAATATATTTTTTATGCCCAGGATATACACCCAATCTAACTCTCTGATAATATTAATAAAAAAGACTTAAAAAGGAATAATTAGTTGTGACATCAGCATTAATACGAGAGGATCTAGAAGAGTGGCCATTTAATATGACTTTCATGACATGATTTGTTAAAGACTGGCTTAAATCAAAAATTTGGCAGAGAATCAATAGCTCTTCAGCTTATGAAGGAGACCAGGGTGCCAAGTTATCTAAAGCCACAGCTTGAGCTTTGGTGCTCTTATCTAAAGTTAACCTAGTGAAGCAAAAGCCATATTTTTTGTCTGATACCCAATCATGGCTACCTGTGTAATGTTAGTGCACAAGAGAAAATAAATCTTTTATTCTTCCACTTCTAAAGTTTCTTTGACTTAGATAAGGACAATATTTCATCAATTTCAGTGAAATATATTCCACAAAATTTATATCATTGTATATCTTATAAATTAATTGATTTAAAAAAAAAAATATTTTAAAAATTAAAAAATTTGCTTGAGGATGAAATGGAACTAATGTCTTTAATTTAATTACAAAATTAAATTCAGGGCTTTTAGCTTCCATTTTTTAAATATGGTTAGAACTGTGTAGGGAAAAACAAAACAAAAAAAAACATATTTTAAATCAATTAATTTATAATATTAATGCTCTGTAAATTTACATTGAGCACTATTTTGTAAAAATAAAAATATCTATAAGAACACCGGATTATATATCTTACTGTTCTTTCTTTTTATTTATATATACATATATTATTGTGTGTATATATATATATATATATAAAATACATAAAAGGTTAATGGTCAGAGTTGAATCAGACTTGACTATATGTCTGAGATGAGGTATTATGTACACTATTTACATTATTGGGACTGTTGTCCTCATCATTGTTGCTATATTTATTACAATGTTTCAGCCATTGTATGCTCCGGCCTTCTTCCAGTGGTTGGAATGTCGAACTGAGCCCTTTATTTCACTCAATGGTGTAGACTGTTGTAGTTACACATGCCATGTTTAATGGATGTCAGTTATCTCTTGTTAATTCCCCTCTCCAAGTTAGATCCAGTGACAGGACCCAAAGAGTTGTGAGTTCAATACCCAGTTAAGGCAGTGGAGAACTTAGAGAGGGGAATTAACAGGAGATAACTGAAAAATGACATCCATTAAACATGGCACGTGGAACTAGAACAGTCTACCCCAGTGAGCAAAATAAAGGATTCAGTTTGACATTCTAACCACCTGAAAAAGGCTGGAGCATACAACGGCAGAAACGTTGTAATAAATATGGCAACAAAGATGAGGACAATAGGCTGAATAATGTAAATAGGGTTGAAGCAGATTATATATAATATATATATATATATGTGTGTGATGTGTTAGAGCTATTTTTGCTTTCTTAAGCATTTAGCAAAGTATTTTGGTAAGTTAATAAGATTGTGTCCATGGATATCTACAGTGTATCCGCGGTTTTCCTGTAAAGTTTTTCCTAAGTATCATACTTTCATATGTTTGGTTTATTTCATTGTTTAAATATATTTAATACATTCCGACATTGTACAATTTATGTTCAAATTCTTCCCAAAAAACCGAAAGTACATACAAATTTAATTATCTATTCTTTGTCCATTGTAACTGTGATTTTGTAATTAATAGGTTTTTACTAGCTGAAGGGTCAATCTCCACAATCAACTGGTTTTGAATTCATAGCTGGTCTTTTCCTAAACCAGTTGCCAAATAAAGACAGCCTAATTTACTCTGCTATTAATCTCTCTCTGGGTTAGGGCTGAAGAGATGGATTCATACCTTTCTAATGGTATTTGTGCGAAAGTGTATGCAAAAACCATGGCTATGATTTAAATGCACACTTCCTCTTTCAGTTATTCTTGAAAATGCATATATACTGGAGATTACTTTTTTTTTTAAGTTTTCTCATGTGTGCAAGCCAATAGACATAATACACATTGTTTAAAATAAAAAAAAACAGATTGTCTATTTCAAACATGTGTATCCACTGAAAATAACATTTGGAGTTATAAATATACATATATATATATATATATATATATGTATAAGTGCGCAGGTATGCAGAAAATAGAAAAGAACACGTTGGGTGCATAATCCGGAGTTCCTTAGTAATTTTGTTTTTATTTTTAAGAAGACAGTATACCCTACCGAACCTTAGCAAAACCTCTCAGAAGATGATGAATCTATAGATAAGAATTAACTCTCTGACCACTTAACCAAGATGACTCGCCTAGCCACTCCCACAATAACAAATGTTATAACGAACCATGCCTAAAAACACACGTAAACCAAGAGATAGCTTATTCCTAAAATTTCGCTTGAAGATGACTAAACACCTCAATTCAACTTAATTTTAATAATTATTTGGATGGTTTCGGCTCTCATTTTTGAAACATGAAAACTCTTGTGTAGTGAAGGAATCATATTTTTAAACAAAAAAAAATATTATAATATATATATATATATATGTATGTATGGTATATATATATATATATATATATATATATATATATATATATATATATATAATTATTTTTTAAAAAATTATAAAAATATATTTTGTTTCAACATGTTCTTGTAAGTGATGATGTTGAAAGAAAACATCATCATTTTGAGAAGACACAGAGTGTCTTCTCAAAATGGCTATTTTTGTAGTGATTTTATAACATACTTATGTTATAATTTTTTTTATAAAATAATTATATCTGCTCTACTTTGTATTGAGCACTCTTTTAAGAATAGTAATTGTTGGTTATTGGAATTCATTCCGTGTATACCAATATATATTGGTTTATATATATATATATATATATATATATATATATATATATATATATATATATATATATATATTGTTGTATCATAATTATTAGCTACTTAATCTCACTTGACCATTTTTACTTTGAGATGAGTAGGATCCTCATTGGGAGTTCAACATTTGTAGCCTTGTATCGAACTCAGATAAACATTAAATATCTATGTAAAGCACATAAAAATGTCTATGCATTTAATATAGAAAAAATTAAGTTGTTATTTCCTGTTTCTGTGTGCATCTGTTTCAAACACGAGTCTGCAACGGAATAACAATTAAAAAGGAGAGAGAAAAGAGCCAACTATGATAAACTGTTGTGTGACGATGCATAAATTTATTATGTTTTTATTAATCCGATTTGTTCTATATTAATAAATAAATATTTTGCCTGATATTGACATATGCAAACTGTCTGATTATTTTTTCTGCTTTATAAAACTTTTACAGACATTTAAATCAAATACATATTGATATTAAACTAATTAAAAAAATACACAGTGTCAATGAATGTTTGGGCCATTTATGCTGACTTTCCACACTACCTTAGACAAAAGGTTAGGAAAGAAACTCCTATCAATACTAGAAAGAACTATAACTGATCTATTTTCCTGAAAAACTGTTTTAAGAAAAAGATTTTATAAACTTTAACTGATAGTAATGCAAACTGTTCAATCAGTTAATGCCAAATGTTTCCTGTATGGAAACAGTTAATCTCATCATTACTGACAGTATATAATAGAGTAAGTTTTCAGGTAGAAAACAATATTTATCTATATAGTAAGCATGGCCACATATTTTTGCCAGTGATGGACAAGAGCCTGCATGTCTATGAAAATATATACCAGCAAAAATGATCCACATTTTCAAATAAGTGATGATGGTATCATTGTCAGGAAAATATCAATGTAGAGCATCTCTCATCAGCCTGAATTGATAAAAGTTGTAAGGCATCTGAATATCTATGTAGTGCATGTCTGATCAGCCTGAATTGGTAAAAGTTGGAACGCTTTTGAAGATAGACAATACAGTGGGTGTGGTAGGACAGCCAAGTTGAAATTTGCGATGTTATCCATTGTCTCCAAACTGCTATATTACCTAATGTTATTATGCTGCAGATAAAAGGTTGTTTTCTCTGGCCTGAATTTAAAAATTCATGTCTTCAGCTTCACATCATGATATAATACATTGACTTGTTTGTCAAGCAGAATAACACTTTACATATCCCAGAAGACTTTGCTAATGGCTGCATATTGAACTTTTTCAATAATGGGGAATTTGCATGTCCCAATTCCATGTACTGTGATTTGATTCAATCTCATCATGGTGACACTGCATCTTGTAATGAGTGATGATGCGATCCAAGAAACTATCACTTTCAGTCTTATAGTGGTTAAACAGGTCCTGGCAGACTTTCATTTTATAGTCTTTCTTTTCTTGACTGAGCATTTGTAGAACCAACCTAACATAAACTTTGTGATATCTCAATATTGGTAATATAATTTCAAGACACTAAAGTCAAAATTCTCCTCTCGGCACAGTTCCCTGATTTTGTTGCATGAACAACATTTTAGGGATTGACAGCTGTGCATAGCCGAAATGCATTCCTCAGTAGATAACTGTGCTCATATCCATTGTTTGCTCTCCATAAACATTCAACAAATATCAGTGGGTACAGTTTTTTCTTCATATTGGAATTCAATGATTTTCCTCTGTTTCATTCACATTCTTTCATGTCAGGCACAACTTTACCAAGTGCTGAGCAGCAAAAAAAATATTCTGAGTT